TGTGTGCGCAGATGTTGCCCAGAATTTAAAGCGTTAAATACATCCTCCTTCCCCAACAGATCTCATCTCTCTCCCTCCCTCTCTCCCTACTTTTCTTTGCTCAAGCTGACGTCAGGGTCTGTCTATCTGTGTGGGTGTGTGTATGTGTGTGAGAGAGAGAGATGTGTGGTGTGGTTTTGAGGGCTGATTTTGTTTAGACAGGAATGCAGGAAATCCGAAGGGTTTGAGATTGATGTGACGGATCTGCTAGTCTCCACTATACACACAAACACACACAAAGCCAGACACAGACACTCGCACAGACAGAGGGGCCACACTGGCGAGTGTTGTGTGTGTGGGTGTGCGTGTGCGCGCGCGTCTGTGTCTGAGCGATAGAGTCCAGTAGCAAAGGCGGAAGGGCTGGAATGAAGGAGAGTTCAACATGAGTGTGCCTCTGCTGAAGATCGGAGCTGTTCTCAGCACGATGGCTATGGTAACGAACTGGATGTCGCAGACTTTACCCACCCTGGTGGGACTGAACGGCACCAAACTCAGTTCATCAAGGAACACCCAAAAAATAGTGAGTGTGCACCTTATGTTTGCTCTAGATTTTTTTCCCCCAAAAAAAGGACTTTCAAAGTCCATCGCCTGGGAATAACCGTGTCTTATTTTGCGTTTTGATTATTAGAGAGGACTCTTAAATGTTCCTCCTTAACGCTCCGTACAATCTTTCCAATGCAGACTGGGTTCAGGATATTTATTCTAAGTGAAGAGATGCTGGCAAGGAAGATTTTTGTTTCCAGTCTGAAAGTTGCTGGACCATCCAGTATATAAGAAGTGGAATTCTTTATGTTTGCAAATCCCCAGGGGTTTTGTTTTTGTTTTTATCTGTTTCTTGGTGGTTGAGACAGCGGCAGGGTTTTCAATCTCCACGTAGGTTAACTTTAAAACAGAATGCTTCAGGGAGCTGTAAGGTGTTGTTATAAACTGGGCGATGTCCTGTTTGCATCTGCTTTCGGGTGTCCCACCCAAACTGATCGGTGACAATTTTTTTAACCGGCTTTTACCCCGCTTTTCTGCAGTTCTGAGGAAGGATCATTGGACCCGAAACGTTAACTCTGATTTCTCTCCACAAATGCTGCCAGAGATGCTGAGCTTTTCCAGCAATTTCTGTTTTTGTTTCTCATTTCCAGCATCCGCAGTTTTTTTTAAATTTAGTTTCTCTCGTTTCTTTTTGTTTTGTTCTTTGCAGGGTTTATCCATCTTCAGCTTTCCCTTTCTTCTCAGTTCCCTTCTTCATTTCCAATCCCCGCCCTCTGATGTTTCCTCTTTTTAGTTTTTTTCTCCAGTATTTCTCACTCCCCTCCCTCAAAGTTTTATCTTGTTCCTTGTTATGTTATTCATATTATGAGGTTTCCCCTCAGCGTTTCTCTTCCCTCAATATTGTTTTCTTCCGTTTCCAATATTTACCCCCTCTCTGTGTGTTTATGTAATGTTTTCTCTCTCTCTCTCCTCGTATGTAATATACTGTTTCCCTGTCTCTCTCTCTCTCTTCCAGTATATAAGATATTCTCTGTGTCCAGTGTGTAACCTTTTCTCTCTCTGTCCCAATATGTAATATACTCTCCGTCTGTCTCTCTCTCTCCCAGTCTGTAATGTTCTCTCTCTCTCTATCTCCCCAACCACCACTGCCCCCAATAAGTAATATACTGTTTTGCTCCCCTCTCTCTCTCCTGGTATATAATGTTCACTCTCCCTCTCTCTCCCAGTATGTAATGTTCTCTCTCTCTCACTTTCTCTCTGTCTCTCTCCCTCTCTCCCAGTATGTAATGCTTTTCTCTTTCTCTGTCTCCGTCTCTCCCAGTACGTAGTGTTTGCTCTCACTGTCTCTCCCAGTATATAATGCTCTCTCTCTCTCTCCCAGTATGTAACTTTCTCTCTCTCTCTCCCAGTATGCAATGTTCTCTTTCTTTCCTCTCTTCCCCAGAATATAGGGTCTTTTTTCTCTCTCTCCCCCACACCTCCAGTATATAATATTCTCTCTCTCTCCCTCTCCTCGTATTTAATGTTCTCTTTCTGTCCCTCCCAGTATTGAATGTTGCCTCTCTCTCTCTAATATTTTCTTCACCTCATTCCACTCGACTCATTAGAAGTTATAAGCTTTTTTAAAAAAATCTGTTCAGTTAAATGATTCTGCTTTCACAGGTCAGATGTACCAGTGAAGAAAGGATCAGGTCCTAAATGTGAAATTGTAGAGTTTAGAACGGAAGGATAGGGTTGAGATGTGAGAAACTGGATTTATTCAAAAATATAGATTGAAAAATGCCTGACAGCAAAACTGCAGAAGTTCTTAAAGTCTTAGAGATGACAATGAAGCTGAGTAAATATTTACAGGAGTGATGTTTGATATAATTATGTTTAGAAAGGTTGGATACTGTTTTGATTTTGCCATTCAAATCTCAGCCTCATGAATGTGCAGTTTTATGCCAAGTATTTGTAATCTCACCGACTGCAATGGTGGTTTCAGAGGCATTGATATCTTACCCAAATGACATTATTTTGAAGATATAAAATATTGAATTCTTGTGATTTATTACATAATGAGATTTTTTAGAAAAGCCTTTTAGTCTAAGGCTAAGCAGTGTCAATTTACTAGTCCATCTTCTCCAAGATTTGGTTTTTTTTATATGCCTGCGCTGCCTTGTCAGTGTCGATCTCTTCAATATTGCCTTTCCCTCTTTCTGGTGTTGTCTTTCCTCCAATACAAACATTTTTCTCTCTCTTTGACTCTTCTTTTCTCTCTTTCTCTGTTTCACTTTCTCTCAATCTCTTTTTCTTGCTTTCTGTATCATTTTTCTGCCTTTCTCCATGTCTCTCTTTTTTCTGTCTTTCTCTGTTTCTTCTTCTCTCTCTTCATTTATTTTTCTCTCCATCTCTTTCTCTCTGTCAGATTTTCCCTCTCCCATTCTCCAATATTTCCCCTTCTTCAAAGAGCCACAATGAGATTGGAAATGCTGTTGCCAAAACAGTTGCATTATGCTGTCTGGATATGACAAGCCTGAGGCAGGGGTGCCCTGTGTCAAGAGGAACATTCTGCACACTTAACACAGTCAGTTGTAAATCAAAGACAATAACAAACCTGAATGAATCTTGCATAATTAAACCACAGAGAAGCATTTCCTGTGCTTTGACAATCTGATAAAGCAAAATCTAAATACGAATTAATCTTTCTGTCATTCAAGAAACTGGGAGTTGGATTGATTCCTGGCATCAGGATGGCTGGAAAACATTTAATTGATCCAACTATGTTTTAAAGCAAGTTTACTATATAATAGGTATCACTCATCCATGTTAATGAGAATACAAATTAATACCATTTATCTTTCCTTATGTAATAATAATTCATCTTGCTAATGATCTCCTTGCCACCCTCAACTGTTTTCTTGCTGGCATATGGTTGTATTTGCCATTGGCATTCAGTTTGTGTGAGCTGGAGCTAATTGTGTTCAAGCCCAATTTGCTTCCCACTCCATCTATCACTCGTGCACTTACAGTAAATACAGTAGAGGATGATTGGCAACTGGAATGCTGGTCTGTCATTCCTTCCCCTTTGTCTGTCTATCATACCCCATCTGTTCCTTGCCCATGTGTTACCTCTTGGCCAGATCAGCAGTTTGCTTCATTCAGTCCACTTGTACCGCTGATGGTCCCCATTCCCATCTCCTCAATCACCAATATGCGGTCCGACTGTACAACAAACCTTCGCGGATAAGCTGGGAGCCAATGTTGTTCTCTTGCCAGAACCTCTGCACCTGAGCATCTGATCCCATCCCACAGTGTGTCAGCTTGCAATAGGATTTGTGACTGTTGCATCCCAGTGAACCCTGAGTGACCTTCAGATCCAACAAAGTATCCATAGCCAAGATGGATTTGGCCACCGTTACAATATCAGCATGTCTCTCTCCCACTTCCTGCTTGGAATGCCGATTCCCATCTTCTTCATGTCTGTCACCTTCACTGACGCTAACCTGCTCCATGGTCAACGTTGCACCCAATGGAAATGGGAAGAAGGGGTGTTTGGGGCAGAGAAAGACTTACCGATGCCAAAGTTCTCCATCCAGATCCTGTCCTGAAAATGTTTGAATTAACTTTTGGTCTGGTGTTCACCAACCTCCATTAACGGCATCCTCTGAAAGCAGCACATTGAAATTCTTTGTCCTTATTACACCCTCCATGGTGTCATCCCTTTCTCTACAGTCTCATCCAATGCAATAGACCATTTGCAAACTTGGCTCTCTCCTCTTCCAGGGTCATGTAGAAAAGACAGGAAAGTGAAGTTGAGAATTATTCAATTAGCTACGAGCTCATTGAATAGCGGAGCAGTCTCAATGGGCCTCTTATATCTATGGTGTTATACTCCTCTCTACTCTCTGCTGTCCCTTCACTGGTGAGATACTATTCCAAATTCGGGATCCATATCTCTCGATGTCCCTTCAGCTTGCTACTTTTGCTATCTCCTCAAAACCTAGTTCTACCTTACGGTTTCCTTGTCTCCCAACCCTTCTCCCAGCTACCCCTCAGAATGTTGTTCTTTACACCTCTGCAAATTGCTTCTGGATGGCCTAGTGCACTACAACCTCTACAGGAATGTGACATTGAGTCATAGAGATATACAGAATAGAAACAGAGCCTTTGGTACAACTCGTCCATGCTGACGAGATATCCTAAATAAATCTAGACCCATTTGCCAGCACCTGGTCCATATCCCACTAAACCTTTCCAAATCATGTACCCATCCAGATAGCTTTTAAATGTTGTAATTGTACCAGCCTCCACCACTTCCTCTGGCAGCTCATTCCATACATGCACCACCCTCTGCATGAAAAAGTTGCCCCTTATGTCCCTTTTAAATCTTTCCCCGTCACCTTAAAACTATGGTCTCTAGCTTTGGACTCCCCTATCCCAGGGGAAAAGACCTTGCCTATTCACCCTATCCATGCCCCTCATGATTTTATAAACCTCTATAAGGTCACCCCTCAGCCTCCAACTCTCCAAAGAAAATAGCCCCAGCCTATTTAGCTCTCCCTATAGCTCAAAGCCTCCAACCTCAGCAACATCCTTGTAAATCTTTTCTGCACCCTTTCAAGTTTCACAACACCTCCCCTATTGCAGGGAGACCAGAACTGAAAGTAGTACTCCAAAGGTTGTCTAAGGGATATCTTGTGCAGCTGCGACATGTTGTTGGATAAACTCACACCAGGGCAGGAGAGCAACTTGCACCCGGACTAGGAATCAGATTGGAAGTCAGCGGTTTCCAAGTCCTGAGAGAAAAAAACAGAAACAGGAAAAGGTTTAGTGGATGGCATTTTTTGAGCAGTTGCTTTGGGGATGGTAAATTAGGTGGCTGGCATCCTGGCACAGCATGACACTGTCTGCCCGGGGCAAGATCTGTGCCCTTTTCTTCCCAGAATTGTCATTGGGCTTGCATGACCAGATGGAGTCTCCCAATTCCATCACAGAGTGGCCACACTCCTGTTTGAAGCAGCTGGATTGTTGCCCCGTTGGCTTGGACAAGGTACA